CCCCGAAGGTGGAGGTCAAGGGGCTGCTGGTGACTCCCGTCCCTATCAACGGAGGTAACGCTTCCCTCGCTCGCTGCCGGGTGGTTGGTCCTTGCCTGGGCTGGGCAGGCTTTCCTAGAGAGCTCTGACAGACGAGGAGGAAGAGCTTGCCCAGAGGGAAATAAAATGAATCCGTGATCTGAGAGTGTTGGCTTGAATATCGGCTCAGCAAAGCATAATGTGCTTTCCAGCATGGATCCCAGTAGATTGGGTGCACTGAGCGGTGAAGGTGTTATTCCTTAACTAATTACAGAGAGTGTAGCGACAGTTGACAGTATTTGGTTACAGCATTGCCTTGAGTCTCAGAACAGCTGCATAGCCGTCTCGCTCTGCATCTGGATAGCTTTGCAACTGCATGAAGTCACAGGTTTTCAGTGTGCAGTTCCTAAAAACACTGTTTAAGCTGCCCATCAAGGCTTGGAAGGACTGAAGCTACCAAGCTGTTGCTCTTGCATAGCCAGCCCGAAATGCGGTTGCTTGCAGTACTGAACACTGGCTAGAGTGTCCAATTCAGTTTTCTTTTAATTAAACAAAGCCATTGTCCATCAGTTTTTCTTTTGATATATGCTGGGGTTTATAGAGAACAGTAATTTGAACAGGTTAGAGTATTGTCATTATTTTTGCCTGAAGTGAAACCAGTATCTTCAGTAATAGTGATGTAGTTTTAGTAGTATCTTATTTTGAAAATCATTCTTGACATTATCTAAACTGCCATCTTGAAGAAATGGACCACTTGATGGAATACAGCGGTCCCAACCTGCCTCATGGACAGTAAACATCTGGATAATGTATTAAGTGAAATATTGTAGTCAGTTAAAACTAGAGTCTTAGGTGGTGAATACTAAGAGTGTTTTAGAAGAATTGATAGCACAAAACTACTGTGTTATTAGAAGCTTTAGAGAATTTGCCAAATCTTAAGATCAGGAAAATACTTTGATGCTTCTTCAGAACAGATGCATTCTGCCAGGCAGCCTCTGTCAGCTGCTGGTCAGGATGGATAAGGTTGTGCATCAGCAGGTTCTTGCCAGTCTCAATGAAACTCTGCAAAATATAACTAGAATATATTAATGGGGTACATTTTGGGGAGGAAGGGTGAGGAAGCAGAAGTTTTTGAGGAAGTCTGCTCTAAAATGATTTTTATTTGTACTTCAAATCCTGTCCATCAGCTAACATTAAATATGTTGCAGTCGTTGTGCTTCCTGATATTCTTCACATCCCCACACAGCCTCCTTGAAATCAGGAGTCTGTCCTGAAAGTTTTAGGCATGTAAACACACTGCTACTGCAAGTAGTATTTTAACAGGTTTTTAAAGGTATCAAAGCACTTTATTTTTTTTTTTTTTTGAGCTGTGTTATTTGTCAGGAAAAACTTTTGATACTAATTTCTTTTAATCTGCCTCTGTAACTTTTTCTGCTTTCTTTTGATTTGCTTTCACTAAGGTTCAGTTCAAACACTGAGGGAGGCTTTGACAGCATTTTCACAGGCAGCTGATAATGAGAAGAGCTAAATAAAATTATAAGCAGTCTGTAAACAGTATTTTTATACCTACTGCTAAGTACTATGATGAATAACTTTCTTGCGAAAGCACAGCAGGAAGTGTGAAAATGTCCGACCTGACATGGTTTGACATAGTGCAGTGGTTAAAACTTTGTTATCAATTTTGGGGGAAATTCAGTTTTGCCCTTCTGTTTCATAACTTAAAGCAAGCACAACAGCAGTTGTTTTCCCTATTCTTAGATACTCTGAATTGTTCTGTGTAGATTGTTATATATTTGCATTTTATTTGAATTTTGCTGATGTGCCTGTGGTTTAAAAGCGTTTCATTTAGTAAGGAGGATTGGAATGTTTTATGCTTTTACTTAAGCTGCTTTTTTTATATTCAGATTTGATAAAAGATGATGCAGTCTTACTGAAAGTAATTGCTTTCATGTTTTTTTAATCAGCCTGTTAATATTGCTGGTGAGTTTGTTTGCAAAATTTTTTCTAATAGCTCTAAACATGAGTAGCTGCCAGCCACTGCTTAGAGCAGTAAATGCTGTACCCCAGTTTTCATGTATCCTCAGAAGAAAATGGCTCTACAATTGTTAGCAACTTTATTTGAAGGTACATTGAATTTGAAACTGCTGTGATGTCAAGCATTCACCCATTTATGGGCTATCTTTGAAATTTTCACAAATGTGGGTGATGTGTTAGCACCTTGATGGCATGGACTGTTTTAGAGCTGAAGTGTCCTTAATTCCACATTTTTGCATGCTCTGTGAAGAATCACAGAATCACAGAATGGTTTGGTTTGGAAGGGACTTTGAAGATGATAAAGTTCCACCTCCCCTGCTGTGGGCAGAGCTGCTTTTCACCGGACCAGGCTGCCCGAAGCCCTGTTCAGCCTGGCCTTGAACACTTCAGGAATGGGGCATCTTATCACATCCCTTACTCATTACCTGCAGGGAAAGAAATGAGTTTACTAATTCAAGATTCAGGGCCAATGATCTGCTGCTGACCACACAAAATTTGTAATCTTAAACGTTTTGTGGTGGTTTTGACTTCTATCCTTGAATGCCTAATATTTTATGTACTGCTTTTTGAAGATGCCAGCTCCATGTGGTCACCCATCCTTTAAATCTCTGTGCAGCATGATAGTCAATCACTTCTCCTGTTTCTTTAGCAGGATTTCTCTAATGGAATTCAACCTTGTCATGTTAATACATGTATTAAAACCCTTTCTGTGTTCTTTTTATAGGGCTAGTATGAAATTGATAGGGGCTTTCAAAGGCAGTGCTCCCCTGGGAGCGGGGTGGCAGTAACTGGCGTGACCGCCTGTGAATGTCACTTGTGAAAGTGCAGCTCCAGCGAGCTCTTGGTCACAGTTGGCTGCTGCCTGTACATTCAGCAGCTGTGTGGGGTTTTTTTTCCAAGCACATTAAATGCATGATAGCAGCATAGTTTCTTTATTAATCTCTCTTCCGTTCTTCTGCTTTGAGTTGCTTTTCTTACCTCCTCTAACTTGTTAATCTCTTGTCATGACTTAATTTCTTATTAGAAGAGCATTTTAAACCACTGCTGCACACGAATGCTTGCAGATTCCAAAAAAAAAAAGCTCCTCTTGTTGTGCATGGAAGGATAAAAGTGAAATGAGTCTTCACAGCTTGATGCAGATTTTCTATAGTTTAGTTCAGGTTTATAGTATTCCTTTAGTGAGGTTCCAGAATACTTCTCAGTCTCTTACTCTGTTATTTGTGACTTTGTGCAACCAGACATTTTCAGAGAATCGTAGAGTGGTTTGGGTTGGAAAGGACATTCAAGACTGTCTAGTTCCAAGGCCCTTGCCTTGAGAAGGGACACCTTCCTCAACCAGGTTGGTCAAAGCCTTGTTCATCCTGGCCTTGAACACTTCCAGGTCTTTTCAGCCCAGTCCTCTCCCAGCAGCTGCCTGGCTGCTCCTGGATATCTGTACATGCACCCTGCAGGTGTTCAGCCCTGTGCCACTCCAGTGACCTGTGCTTTTACTCTTCTCTGGTACTGGGTGCCTGACCCCAGTTGTGGTGCAGACCTTTAAGTGTCATGGATATTCCCCTTGCCATGGCAAGCCAAGCTAGAAGCCACTGAATACTCACCTTAATGGTTCTTGGGAGAAACTGCAGTGCTTTGTGGCTTAATTCCCTCAAAAGCCTTCTCCATGGGGAGCAGGACTCTTTGTGGCTGTTGAATCTGGGTTATTGCTTTTGGATTCCAGTGTAAGGACTGGAAATTCAATTTTGTGTGCTCTGAAGAGTCCCCTTGCAGGACTTGCTGGGAGGGAATGTTTTGTGCACCTTGGTTGGCTTGGGAAGCAGGCAGGGATGACCAAGACTGGCAATGGAGCTGATAGGAAGGGAAATTGCAGCAGAATCAAACTTGAAATGTTAAATTCACTGAGCCAGTAGGTCAGGAATGAGTGGGTGAGGAGGGGTGGAAAGGGATGGAGCCTAAAGGGCCTGTAGGGAGGTGGTGGTTGTACAAAAGCTGCTTTAGAGAAAGGGCTCACAGAAAGGAGAGCTCTCCAAAGGGATTTAAGGGTCGGGGCTTGGCAAGGAGACTGAGAATGTGAGGAAAAACATATGTTAGGAAAAGGTGAAAGTGTGGAAGAAACAATATTGGCTCAGTGTTAGGAAGGAGGTATATCTTGTGCACAGTGCTGTAACTACAGCATTCTGTAGCATCTGGCACTTCATAAACATGTTGTGTGAACAAGTTTTAGCTGCAGAAGGTTTGAAATGCCAGTTTCCTGGTAACTGTGGAGCTTTAGGCAGCATTCAGACAGAAATGCTGGCCCAGAATCCAAACCAGTATGGCTTATGAAAATGCGGCAAGCAAATATATCAGTAGAGTCGGGGAAGAAGGATCTTGTGCCTCCTTCATGATTGATCTTTGTATTCAGCTTAATTAGCAGTCATTAATTGATAGCAAAGTGGAGGTTATATATTGGAGTATATAGCCATAATTGTAGAATACTTACTGAGCTAACAAGATTAAATCTGAACTATTATGGGACTCTTCTAAGCTTCAGTGATTTTCTTTTGTTTAACTTCCTCCTGAAACCAGATTACCTCTTGTTCAAAGAGGTTTCTTTTCATGCTAAAGCCAGCTTTAGTCAAAGCAATTACCTGAAAGAGCTGTTGAAAGGAAAATGTTGCTGTACATAACTCATTGATTCAATGGCACCACCTTATAAAGTAGAAATTATGACTGGCATGAATAAGGGCTGTATTGATAATACCACCAGTAGTAATGGAAAGAAAATATGTCCATTGCATGTATTAAGCCCTAATGGGATAGAAAATAACTAATACCATTCCTTGAAATAATCCACCAGCACTGCTGAGTTGCCTCTGTGAATTCCCCAGGTGAATTCCTTTTCTGGAAATTTTATCACAGGATTATAATTAATGTGTTGCACAAAGCTGTCTTGTTTTACCAGTCAGGTGTTGTACACAGCACTTACCTGGGCAGCAGAGCTGTAAGGAGGGAGTGCTTTGGGGTGCAGCCTGCATGGCACTGCCCCTTCCTGTGTTCCTCTGTGGTTTCTGTACCAACAAACCTCTTGATCTGCTGTCCCTCAAAATACTGGTGGTGTCTCTCCAGCTATTGTATTACAGTGATTGAAGGTCAGACTTTAAAATGATTTCTGTATGTGTAGCTGAGACAGACCAGCTCTGGCAACTGGTGCTGGATTTACAGAGTACAGTATTAGCTAAGATGAAATCAATAGCAAGATATCTGACCTTTAGAGGGGAAAAAAAAAGAAAGAAAAAAAGCCCTGTATGGAATCAAATGGTTAATGCACAGAGAGTGGGATATTTCTGTGAAAAGGGGACAAAGTCTGATAACAGCCAGTGCAGCAACCTTGGCTGAAGTGGGGGTGTCACAGTTGTGTTCAAAGCAGTGCAAGAGCAGCAGGAACACAGCGTGAGAAAGAGCAAACCCAGGCACTGGTCAGAACTAGGGGACAGTCTGCATTCAGACAGGTGTGCACTTGTGACAAAGCTGCTGGGAGCTGCCCTTTTTGTTTCATTTTTGCTCCACAAAATGGCTCCCCTTCCTATAGGGAGAAGGCTAGAACATGGTAAAGCAATTGGAAAAGGAAGGTACTGTGAGCTTGCCACTGCTTCCTCAGTAGTTGAGGAACCTTGGTTGGATCTAATGCATCATTAACTATTTTTTTCCATTAATCCCTAAAATGCTTTCACAAACCTTAGTCTTTCAGCAGAAAGAGGTCTTGAATTATAAAAAATGCTCAAAGAAAAACAGTTCTACAAATTGAGCAGCCTTGTGTATTTTGCAAAAGGAAACTGAAGCTCTCCTAAAGCAAAAACAAACATGAGCCTAATGGTAGGTAGGTAGGTAGGTAGGTAGGTAGGTAGGTAGGTAGGTAAATCACAGCTGATTCTTCTGTAAAGAGGCTCTTCTGAGGTGTTGGGACTTATGTTAGGAAGGGAGATATTTACAACAACATTGTACATAGCTCTTTAACCCAGCAGGCTGCCACTTCTAAACCTTCTAAACCAGAAAATTGGGGTTTTGCCAACACATGATGCATAGATAAACACAGAGACAGGCAGGGTAAATAGTTTATATTTCAAACAAGCCAGAACAGTAGCACACCTACAGGGAAACTTACTTAAATGGCTTTCTGTATGCTTATATCCTCTGAACTTCCATGAGTGGCTTCTGATCGTATCTTTCTCTGTGCAAGTGATTTATTTTAGAATAATTTAATGTGAAGTTGCTTTTCATTCTTGCACTGACAAGAATGAAAAATGAAATGAAAAAACACTGAGATAGTGGAACATGTCCAGAGAAGGACAGAGGAGCTGGGGAAGGGGCTGAAGCACAGGTCTGATGAGGAGAGGCTGAGGGAGATGCAGAAAAGGAGGTTCAGAGAGGATCTTGCTGTCTAAAGCTCCCTGACAGGAGGGTGGAGCCAGGTGGTGTTCAGCCTCTTCTCCCAGGTAGCACAGTGAGAGGAAACTGCCTCAAGCTGTGCCTGGAGGGAGTTAGATTCAATATTGGGAAAAATTTCATCACTAAAAGAATTGTCAAGTGCTGAACCAGACTGCCCAGGGCAGTGGTGGAGTCACCATACCTGGAGGGATTTAAAAGTCTTGTAGCTGTGGTACTCAGGAACGTGGTTTAGTGGTGAACACAGTGCCAGATTACTGCTTGGACTCAATGATCTAAAGGTCTTTTCCAACCCAAACAATTCTGTGATCATCCAGGCAATGCTTGCAGCCCATGTGTTGTTGATTCCAGCTGAACTTTGGATAGCAGATCATCGAGGGCAGGGGAGTGGGGAGCGGCAGAGGTGATTCTGCCTGACCCTGTTCATGTGTGTCCCCTTCAGTGCCCACTGATGGCCCTGACACCTGAACTGATCAGAGGACATTTCCTTGTAACCATCTCACTCTTCTGGAAGGGTGACTGAGATTTTAAGACTTCCACGCTTTTTGGAGTATCTTCAGTCTATTGAAAGACAAGCAGAACACCCCACATTTTTCACTATTGTTTCTGAACTTTATTTAGTTAAAAGTGATTACTTAACATTTGTGTGGTGTAATAGAATGCTAATGCAGAGAAAAGTGGGTTGTGACTTTTTATTAAATCTCAAGTGACTTGCAGACAGTTCAGATTTATCTAAACCAACCAGATTTTCCTCAATGTTTTTGCATTACTTAAATAGTACTGAGCTAATGTTGTCAGCTGTTAAATTTTCATCAGGATATACTGAAGACACCTCGTCAGGAATAACATGCTGTAAGCATTTGAGTGGTGTTTGTTGGTCTATATCTGGAAAGCTTTAATCTCTTAATATCTTGTTTCCTAATTCTTTTCCTTTATCCAGTAACATTTCATAGCTCTGTCCACAGCTGAGAGAGACTTTGATCTCTACTGTGGTAGAAAATTTTGTACTGCTTTTCCCACCAATGCAGTTTCTGTTATCTCTCACTGCTTTCTCTGTTGCTTTTTAAGCTAAAAATTTTCAAGCATACAAATTTCAAGGTGCCTGTATGAATTTGGAGAATGCTTCTTCCTCATTCAAGGTGCTCTTTTTTGCTTTTATGGTTTTTTCACTGTAATAACCCAACTGTGACCATTTTTGTTTTCACTTCATATTTTAGTTTTGATCATGATTGTACTGAAGGAAACAGTACATGACCTGTGAGATTGCTGTTTTTAATAATCCCATATATTTTAGGTAAATTTATGTTTGCCATAGTGTCTACTTTCAGAGTTATTTTTGGCTGTTTGAGGGGATTCTGTGGAATTGTAGCCATTTAGAAAATGGTATTTTCCAACAGATGTATCATACTTGAGATTCTTGAATGTGATTTCATGGGAGAAGGGTGGGATTTTTCACTTTCAAGGCTTGAAGAACTTCTTATCCCAGTCTGCTGGTGCTTTCCCCCTTCCATGTTTATGAGTGGAAATGTTCAGAGCAAGGGGGAATCACGCATTAAGCAGCTTTTGTCTTAACAGAGGGCAAAAAGGTTGGTGGCACACGTGCTGTGTTGTGATTCTTTGTTTTCAAAAAGCACTGTAATTCCTTTCAAAAATACATACTGTTCTCAAGTTTAAGATTACAGAGACAAGCTGCAAAAGTGCAGTGGGCATGAACATGCTCTTGTGTGGTTGTTGGTGTTTGTGATGCCATCACCAGTGCTGCAAAACACGTGTGGATCAGTGCTAGCTAGCAGTTTCCACAAGGATTTGAGTAATGATGGCAGGGTAATGGAAGAAAATACTCTATAAAACTTGGCTTTAGGCATCTGTATTTCAGATTTTCCCTGATGCCTGGATGAAACAAAAATACAGCAAATATCCCTCCATGTCTGAGATGTCTAATAGAGATCTGAAAAACAATTGTGGAAAGGATGTGCTGGTTTCTGGCTCCCCACCCTCCTTCCAGGGGAACAGGGAGAGGCACTTCTTGTCCAAATTGAGAGATGCAATGACTTCCTGTGTGTCTGCACAGTATAGATTCATCTGCATTAGCTTTCTTCAGGCAGGCAGAAGATTTTCTTTGTTTCAGAAAACATCTTTAGCTCTTTGAATCTCCTTTGTTACAGATTTTAACCTCAGCTATGTTAAACTGAGAGTGTTTAAAAAGACCTTTTGTTTCCAGCTAATATATTAAACTGGATATTTTTTGGTGGTAGATTATTTTGCTGAAATCTCATAGTTGTGGTGAACTCACTTCTTAAAAAGGAAAAAAAATTATGGGAGACCTTCATTTGATTTGCTCCTTCATTGCAGAACTGTAATGTTTTCTAAGCTATTATGCAAATAGATTGGGTTTTTGTCTTGGAAAAAATCACTGTTTATCCCAACTATTTTTAGTAGCCAAAGATTATTATATTCTTGGCATTCAAAAGGATAAATATATTTGCATTATAAACTATTGTTGGCTCTAAATGAAAATCCTTTAATGTTATGACCAGTGTATCAGACTAAACTGTGTTTGCAGTTGTGCAAACAGATCTGTCTTTCATTGGTTTCAGCTGCTGGGAAGTTCCTTCTGCCTTGGGTTTTGTGTCTTTTGTACCCAGCTCTGTGGCTTTGGGTTGTTGCAGGATATGTTACACCATCAGAGGGACAAAAGAGCTTTGCACACTGTTGAATTCAGACATCTGGCATTTGCCATTTCTGTTACTCTTCCTTTATACCATCTATACCTGTTTAGCTGACAAGTGCATTGTGTTTGCAAACCCATTTGTTTCTCTATGAATTTGAATACATTTCCTTGTAGACAAAAATGTGCATATGTAAAAAGCTGATGTTGGCTGCTGGGGTTTTACAAGATCAGCTTTTAATGTTGTCCTTTCTTACAGTAGCCTGCACATGGCAGATAACTCTGAAATCTTGTTTTCACAACCTGCTTTGTTTAGTTGTACTTCCCACTGCAGTGATCTTTGTGGCTGCATTAGGAAGAAAAAAAAGACTTGTACTCCCCAGAATGACTGATAAACAGCTGTTTTGTAAATGCCTATAGCAGATGAACCATATTCTAATGTTTTTCAGCCTCTAGGCAGGTATTGATTTGAATGTGAATTCATTATTCTAGCTGCACTGGAGTTAAAAATAGCTTGTGTTAGTGAGCCTAATTCTTGGGCACATAGTCACAGCTTTCAATGCGTGAGACTTCTTTTTTTAAAATCTTATTTTCATAAGAATATGGTTATCTTTAGACTTTCTTCACAAGAGAATAGTGGCTTCCTAGTGCATAACATTTAAGTACTTCAGCAACTTGGAATTAGGATTTTCCTTTTTTTCTTTGTTATGCCTGTGTAAATTTGTTTCCCATTTCAGTTGCAGATCGTCTGGGCTGTGACCCTCGAACACGTTTCCAGGTCCCCCCAAACACCAAGCAGTGGATTGCTTTACTACAGAGGGGAAATTGTACATTTAAAGAGAAAATACTGCGAGCAGCTTCACATAATGCCACAGCTGTGGTCATTTACAACAATGTATCCAGTGAAGAACCTGTCACAATGACTCATCAAGGTAAATAAAATGTAATCTCCTTCACTGTAATACTTTTGCCATATAAACTATTGCTAAAAAGCTCTTGGCATTGGAGGTATTGGAAGTAGCCATTCTCTAATGATATTTGCATATATGCAATAGAGTGAAATAAGCCAATAATTCTGCAAAGTTATTTTCCTTTAGCATTCATTTATCCAATGAGGAACACTTTTCTCTGCAGTGAGGATGTGGGTGTGTTGGAGTGAGGAAATGCCTGTAAGAGCTGAGGAGCAATCTTTCAAACCTTTCTGCAGAAGTGAAGCTAACATACAGATATAATGGGAGAGCTAGAATTTTGCAAATCTGAGCCTGAAGAATCCTTAGCAGCATGTCTTCAACCCACTGCTCTGATGGAGACCTTCAAATGTTAACAGCTGTGTTTTGGGATCTGAGCTTGCATGCTTTTTTGATGACAGTTTACAGAGGATTCTCTTTCTACAGTGGAAGTCTGAGTGCCATACAGGAGTCAACAAAACAATGATTTGGATTTGCCTCTGTAAATTGTCCAGAATAATGCTGGAAGTCTGTTTTTCTGGAGAGATCTCTTGCTTTACAGATGCCTATGTGTAGAATTTTACTGTTCCTTGTGACTCACTTTTGTTGCTGGAAGCTTCATGTGTAAACATATTCCTTGGTTAAAATTATTTTTGCAATTCTGATAGCTACCTTTTTCATTTTCCAGATGATTTCCTCTTTTTGGAACTATTTATCTTAATCAGAAAAGACATTTCTCTATATTTGGTGGTGGTATTGCTGGCTGATTTTTTTTTTTTAGGATATTTTCAGTCTCTTTTAGCATAGGGGGTTGCTTGGAAACTGGAATTTCTTAATTATTGCTCTGCATATTGTCACACAACTAGAACTGAATTCCTTGACTAAAGAAATGCTATGGTTCTTTCTTTCTTTTTTTAACAAGGCAAATGTTAAAGAGGTTTGACCTTCCCAACTCTGTATCACAGGAATTTTGCAGGAGGATTTTGACCTCCATGTAGCAATTCAAAGCCTGTTGATAGTTGATTTTTATCTCAGGTACCTTGCTTAGACATTTTTATAAGCAATCTGCAGGTGAGAAGTCCCATGTTCTAATGAAACATTTTTTGCCACCTTTCTGGAGTTGGTGGGTTTTTTTTTGTTTTGTTTTTTGTTTTGTTTTCTGGTTGGTTTTTTTTTTTTTTTTTTAATATCCCCCATTTCTCTCTACAGTTATAGTGTCCTCTTAAACCTTCTACTCTGGACTCTTTGAACTACCTCTAAGAATATTTATATAAATAATGCTCTATTTAGCAATGATTGTAGTTTTTCCGTGGTCTGGAATACATCAGTGTGTGAGGAAAAAGGCTACTGCTACTGATCCAGCTTTAGCATTGTTGGCTCTATTACATGTTAAATCATATCATGAGTTTGATTATAACTTTAATACCCTCTTTCTCATAATGCTGTGTAGATTTGGCAGTTGCTTTACAGCAGTAAGATGGGGTCTGTCTTTTATTAGGAAATCCTTGTTCACTCCCTGTTTCAGCTCAGAAGATCAGTGTGTTGCCTTTGAAACTTTATCAATAGGCCCAGTAGTTCTGGTTGGTTGAAACACCATCTGAGATGTAAAATCTGAGAACTGCAGCAGGTAAAAGAGTGTCTTGTAAGGTAGCCAGGCAGCTGTTTGGGTAGTTGATATTTGGGAAAAAAACAGCTCTTCAGCATGTTGAGTTCCAAATATTTACTCTTACTTATGGCAAGCTTTAAAAAAATGCAGTTACTGGAGATGATGCATATTTTAGCTTTGTGTATTTGAAATATTGGGGTTTAGGTGCATGTGCTCAGTATACTCTGGGATCTGCCCTGGTTTGGGCTGAAGGCTCTATCTCAAAATTAATGTTGGACTTGAAGTGTTCAAACCAGGTGACAGGCTAAAAGTCATTTTTTAGAACTGAAGTAGCACCTGGAATGAAGAGAAATGTTGCTCCACAGCCTTTGTTTTGATTGTTATGGACATGTGAGGGATTTCCTCAGCAATCACTTTGCAGAGCTTCCTGCAGATAACTAACTTCCTGGTGGGCTGATGGAGGAACTGTAATGTGTAGTTGAGATGTAGCCTAGGCCTTTGGTGTTAGCCTCAGCACAGGGAGGGTTTGGAATCCAGCATTCCCCCTCTTGAGAGTTATTCCAGGGGGGAGACAGATTCCTGAACCTGTGCTTACAGGATGAGTCTTTTCTAGCACTGGGTAAAGCAGATTTGCACACATTCAAGCCATTCCCTGGTCTTCCTTTTTCTGCCTTTTCAACCATAGACTGCTTGTGTGCTTTTTAGGTGGTGAACAGTCATCTCAGAGGTCTCTTCCAACCTAATTGATTCTGTGTGATCAGCTAATTAGATATTCCAGTGCACTACATCACTTCTCTTTAGAATTTTCTGTCCCTAAAGGTTGGGAGGAGCTGACCCTGTGTATTTGAGAGCTGTTCTGCACTGATTGAGTTCATGTGTTGGAGCAGATAGCAGGTGAGGATGGAGGTGAGCCACCAAGCTGGTGTTAGCTCCATAGGATGTCTATTGCTGTGCAGTATTCCTCTTTTCTTTAAAAATACAGTCTTCACAAAGCAGTTTGGCAGCTGTGTTGATGACCAAGTTGATGACTCTATATTTTCTTTCCATAGACGAAGGAGAAAGTAGACCTTGTGTTTTTTTATATTTTATATATGTAACATAATCTTTGTACTGCTCTATATTAAGCTTTAGAAATATTCTGTGTTCCTGGTGAAGCAGAGAGGAAAGCAGCAACTGCTTATAATGCACACTATGAGCTGCAAGCTTTCCTGCTTGGATATTTCCATGAATTCCAATCACCCTCTTAGGCAGTGTCTGTGGTAAAAATAAATAACACATTACACAGATTTTTGTATGTTGCCCACCTGCAGAGAGGTGATTCCCTGTGAAAAGAGCTTTGGAAGCACTTTTCACCTGTAGGATTAATATTTTATCCAAGCTATTTTATGCTTGAATACACATTTGAAAATTTTATTCTTATGGAAATTTGTTCGTACTGAAAATGTTACTTAGCAGAATGGCAATTCCTTCTGGTGGCTGGATAACAGCTGTCACTCTGGAATCAGTCTGTCATCACTGTGTCAAATGAACACTTTCTGCTCTAACAGCAGAATTTGCTTTCTCTTGTGTCATAGTCCACCAAGTCTGTGCCCCTCCATTTTCACCTTTGAGTTTTAAAGTAGGTAATGACCTTCAGGAATTGCTCAGCTTTTTTTTATAAATACCTGCACTTCTGTTGATGCTATTTGCAAGATTATTTTCTTTCCTTTGTGCATATCCTGGTATATGTCAGTGTATACTTATTTTGCACAATCCTGTAGATGTCTTATCAGCAAAGGACAGCCTTCCCAGCATGGGTTATGTTAGACCATGATGTCACTGGCAGGAAGGCAGTTTTATGAGTGGTTTTGCTTGCTGCTTCTGTTAAAGCAAAACTGATGCTGTCTAATGTAAAAAAGGGCCTGTGTGGTGAAGAAAATATGTGGTAGCTGTCTCCTTTATAAGCAGTTATGGGAAAAGGAAGAAAATCCATGTTAAATAACGTTTTAATTCTTTTTTTTGTTGTTTGTATGTGTGTGGTGGAGACAACCCTGTTAAGTACAAAATAGTTAAACATGGGAAGGTTGGAACTGGGTAATTTTTAAGGTCCCTTCCAAGCCATTCTATAATTTTATGATACTGAATTTCTGTCTTAAAATCTAGACTTTTATTTTGATTTATAGAGAAGAATATATACCAAACAAGCCTTTAAAGTTCAAATTTCCTACTAAGAATTTATGAAAAAAATATAGACAGAAAAAAACACATAAAAGACAGTGTCAAAAAGAAGTTTCTGGATTTCAGTTGTCATGATTTGTGAGCACCTAAGAAATTTCCAGTTTATAAATGGCTTTACCTGATACAGGTAAATCTTTTAAGGTCTTTTGAAGCAAGATGCAGACAGATCATCGAGATCAGTCCTCATTGCTCTTCTAAAGAAACACCTCACTAATTTTCTGGAGGAAGGTGTTTCTGTTCCATGGTGAGCACAGGTGACATTCCCCTGCTGTGGCACTGCAAGAGCTGCCCAACATGGGCTCCCAGACACAGCTCCCTTCCAAGGGAAGGATTTTCCATGGCCCTCTGTTTGCTTGAAAAGCACACTGGTGTGGGAAGGAAGGGCTGTGCTTGCTTTGAACTGTGCTAAATCTGCCTGTGTGTTCTGTGGGTTGTTTTAGGTCAGTGGGTCAGAGGCAGGAGGGACAGGAAGCAATTTGAAGTTGTTGCCACCTAATGGCTGTTCCCCGTTCTTGCCCTCATTCCTGGTGGGTACAATAGAGCTGGCAGTCGAGGTGCCACTGTCCTCTGTTGTGGCACTGATCCCTGAGCACCTCATCTCTTAACTCTGCTGCTTGCCTTTTTCTCACAATTGTCTCTTTATGTAACTCTCAGCTGAAGTGATGCATGAAAGCTCTGGTGGGGTGCACTGCAGATTATCTTGCACAAATGTGTGCTGATGAATGTTTTAGCTCTACACCAAATCCACTGCAAAACTTGCCCTGGATTACTGAGACCTACTTGTAATCCACAGGTCCAAACTAATTTTATTTTATATTACAATATTGTTATTAAATTGTATTATTAGCAATTTATCTTAGACTATTAGTGAAGAAGAAAGAGCTGAGTCATTAATGCTGAAGCCTTTGTAAAAGGCAAAGTCATTAATAGTTTAAGCATTGTTTACATATATTTGATCATTTTTTGTTTATGTTTGCTAATTGAAAATATGGAGGAGGAGTGTCAACAGCTTTGTTGTTGATCCCATTTTTCCACTAGATTCCTTGGAGGTGTATCAATCAGGCAAATCTGTCACACAGTAGATGGAGGTGTCTGACACTTGGAGATGTGGAGAGGAATGTCTGGTGTGCTGATTGTGGACCATAAGGAAGCCCTTGTCTCT